ATTATTTCCAGAAAAACAAATCAGTGTTTATTCTAATTATAAGCAGTGCTACCATCATAAATTGAACTTAATTACATGAGTACAAGCTAAAGGACATCAATATTAAGCTACAAGAGTACAATAACACAAAACGTGTCTTTAAGGAAGACGTCAGTGGAACATACTGTACAGCACGTGGCAGGAGTATGTATCACACTCTTCTGTGCTAGACAGTAAATAGTCTTCCACACCCCACATTTTCACCTGTTTCATTTAAACTGTTTCACTTTAGTTTAAACTGGTACACATCTTCATTCCTTCTTTATATCATTCCACTGCGTTTAACTCCTATCTTTCATGTTGTGATTGTTTGATCTGTTTCCAATATCACAAATGCAGTTTGCGTGTGATATGCAAAATATGCTATTTTGCTGTTGAACAAATGATCCACTATGTCCACATAAAAATATATATTAAATTTTGTATTTACTAGTACAATAGAAATTTAAATCATCTGTCCTGTAAGATGGGTTAGCAATTTCCAAATTTCCTTTAGATCAAGTGGGCACAATAAAGCATGCAGTAGAGGAAGTCTCCTCAATTGACTGATTTCAGAATTTTTCAGTTTACAATGGGTTTGACTTTAAAATACCTATGTTATGCTGAATATGAAAGTAGAAAGCTCTTTCTTTACATAGATAAATGTCTAACACGTAAAGATAACTACTGTATGATACAAAACCCACTCACAAAAAGACAAATGTGCCTACAGATTAGCCTTTACTCTTTAAAGGCTTGGGTTTAAATCCCGACTGAGGTACAATAGGAAAAAGTATTTTTCTCAATTAAGATTTAATAGACAATTTTATGGAGACCTTTACAGAGGCCCATCATGTACAAAAGACCCGTCTTGTAAAACTCCAGCTTGAGATACACTTGTTAGAGGAGATAGCCCAGTGTTGACTGTACTTAATGACAGTCTCCCTGATCTTTCACTTATGGTACCATTCACTCTGTTTTTAACACATTCAGAAAGGTCATTTGCTCAGTCCAGACTCAATTATTTTACTCTCTTTTGCATTCCAGACTATTCAGGTTTAGCTCTTGCCTGTGTGGCTAGCATTCTGAAACACTGGGGATATTGTTCATGCTTCTGGGGCTTTGTTGAGAAGACGGGACCAACAGATCAGTTGCTTCTTCTGGCAATGTCACTTCTGCCTTGGCTGTCTTGCCGTCCAGTAGACCACAGGCACAGAAGGGAAAGGCCTGTAGCCAGGGGTGGTTTAAAAGTCTCCTCACCAAAAAGGGAGGGTCGTAGACTAGGGCTAGCTGGTCAGAATAGCCTGGTATTTTCCTTACCAGGGCCTCTGCTCCTTTAAATACTTTTCCAGTTACCCCCGCATGGAGACCTCTTTCGACTGGAGTGCCTGAAGTTAAAGAGAGCAAAAACAGAATTTTTCATCATCTCCAGTGAGACACGATAGAACTTAAGGATGAGCTCAATCGGAACTGAGCTTATTGTATTTTCAAACCTAAACATTTGCAATACTAGAGTCCATATCTAGGGCAATTCCTTCCATCTGTTCTCTAACTACTTCATCCAATCCATGGAGCTGAATCCTAATCCGACCATCAACAACCACAAGGCTGGGTACACCAGCGCAAGATGCCAGTCCATCGCAGGGCACACAGACTCAAACATAGACTCGCACACACTCACACCTAGGGCCAGCTGTCCCCAGAAGCCAATTAACCCAACAGTATGTCATTGGACTGGGATGAGACCCACTGGAACACAAGGAGAACATACAAACTCCACATAAATTGCAGAACAGGTCCAGAATTGAACCCAGTGCCCCAGTGCTGTGTCAACAATACTAACCAATGCTCCGTGCCACCCTCCAGTTAAATTGACATGCATAAATACTTCATAAATCTTAATGAATGGACTTTTGCAAGATACCAATATGTACAGTCTTGGAGAAAAAAACTAATAGAAAATTTGTTTGATAGAAATAGGAGGCAAGTTGTTTTCTAATCAGCATTCAATGTTCAATGTGCAGGTTTCGGTTCTTAATTAAATCTCTGCAGATTCTAGAAAACAGTTGAAGTAAGAAAAGTCCAAACAAACCGTATCCCTAATATAATCTGCAGTGTTGTTATTTAAAATCTTTCTTCAGACAAAGAAATTATCCGGTGTACAGAATGGGCCTTAAATCACGAAACTAGTCAAAAATAATTGTCTCCTTTTAGACTTCATAACATCTTAAGAACAATTTACAAGACAATATACAGTAAATACTGTACAGCATGAGTACTATTTTCCTGAAGAATCACTAAGAAAAAATTTGGGAGATTTATGAAATACTCTCTACTTTACAGACTTTCACAAAAGCAAGGGGACATTGTGGGAAAGAAATCTGGACATTGTTTTCCATGTTGAGATGCAGATTGTGAAATACATTGAAGAGCTGGTGAAATGAACATTAACTGAGAGTTGTCTCCTTACCTGAAACAGTGTTGTCTAAGAGAAAGGCCAGCACTCCCACAAGGAACACAGGCATAGTTAGCAGAGACTGGATGAAGACATCGAGGCTTGAGACACCTGTTCAGACACAGCAGTTCAGCTTTTACTCAATCGTCACATATCATTAATGAGATTCTGTAAACGTACTGTAATATAAACAAAAGAAAGGCAAGAAGAGGCCATTCTGCCATTTTGTAGATAAATGTATCTACAATTTCATCCAGACCTTTCTTTAAGGCATTTGCAACTCAATCTCAACGGTAAGCCTGTTCTAGACACTCACAATGCCTTGTTTAAGAAAATGGATTCTATTCTAAGCTTTTAAAATTTCATAGTAAGTTTGAATTGTGACACAGTGTCCCTGTTTCAGTATTGATGCTGAAAGCCTCCTGGGTTGAATCTATCTATACCCCTTACTATTTTATTTGCCTGCATCAAATCTCCTCTTACTCTGTTTCCTCTAGACTGAAGAGATTTACATACTTTAACAAATACAAATAATACAAAATAAATATATATATATAAAGGTTTATAGTTTTAAATCTTCATACAATCTTTATCTGTACAGTTTGTTTTTAATTAAAGAAAAGAGAATACATTAAAGGGAAATATTATTAAGGAGTGGAACAATACAAAACAAAATTAATTTAAAGGCCATAAACACCATAGTACCTTCCCTCTCTATGTACGACAGTCAGCAAACTGAAAAACTTTTTTGTTTTTCACAGTTTTGGAGCATCACAATGCATTATTTCATTTAACTTTTTAACATTTTCTCAAATGGTGCACAGGGACCTGTTCTGTTGGTGGAAGATGACGTTTTACAGGAGAAAGGCTTTCAAAATCATCACCAGGGATGTTTTTGTCAAGAAATGGTTACTTGCAATTCCTGCCTCCTCTAGAAAATTTGTTAGCATGAATAAATGTAGTTGTAACTGTCCCCTGGGGAAATTTTCTATGGATTAGAAGATGGTAATACCTGTAGAGATTATGCTGGGGTTCCTATTAAACCAGTGTGGTGCCAGGAGTGCCATGAACACTGTAAAACCAATGTTGAAGATGTTGCGTCCTGAGTCCATATGAGTGTACTGGAAATACGTGATGCCAGTGGCCACAGCTATTGCGTATGTAACACTGAGAACACCACCTGAAAGAATAAGAAAGAGGTCAAGAGAAAGCTTATAAAAGATAGACTGATTGCTGGCCTTGGTTCTCACTTAGGCCTTAGTTGAAAAATAAGACATTTTATGAAGGTGTGTCAAAGCTAGTATGAAGAAAGAGGGCATCGTTATTGAGCTCTTAAAATGAATCATTTGTTCCCCTTTGCCAGCTCTAAAGCAGGTAATTCAAAGAGATATTAAAAATCTTTGTAAATGTGTTGGTAGACAGTTGTGGTATCTAAAGGTTCCCAGCAAGCCTCAGTGACAAAGCATGGATATATAAATGGACATACACGTAAAAGTACTAAAGTAAAGGCATTTCCCTGGGAAAAAAAATGTTAAAATATGAAGCTGCTCTATAAAGACAGGGAGAATATTCGACATAGACCCCTGGACATAACACAAAAAACTGATGATAATGTCACACCTCGACATGTGGTGGTCACATTGTTCTGACTAGATACATGAAATCCATGGACTGTCTGAGGCTGGTAAAATACTAAAGACAGATTGTGCAAAAGGCTCATTGTCTTAGAACACCTTTCAGGTTCTATCAACAGAACCTTGCACCTCTGTTCCTGGAATGAGAATGGCTAGGATACACCCTATACACTCCTATGCCACTATTCAGAAGGCCCATTGGATCAAGTGCAAGTGTCTCTCTCCCACATGTTGAGTGTGAGATTAAAGTGCTTCATTAAACCTTTGTTCAGGGGGGTGTGAGGGTTGGTAAACCAACTGACAGAATAAATACAACATCAAAATACAACAAATTGGAAGTTTCACTAAAATGTGACCTTTATGTTCCTTGCAAACTATCATCTTATTTTTTTTAATTTGCATTGTTTTTATCTCGGCTGTCCTCACTTACTGTAATTACGCTAATGCCCCTAATGTGTGGCTGAGGTAGGCACTGCTTACCTTGAGGGAATCCAGCAAAAGTAAAACGATAACATTGTGTATAATTGTTCACGAACCTTTGTTGTCACAGAGTAAAATACATGTTTAGTAAATACAGTATATAAAACAGAGTGTGACATTTTTTGGTAGTGTTAATACAACAGTCTGTCTCTGACCCCCCCCCCAGGTGTGATGAAGGGTGATGAGACAACAACGTACTCTGCCTGAAAACCTGAAAATAAGCTGTTGTACTCTGTCATGCAAGTGTGTTCTGAGCTCATAATCTCAGCAGTGGGTGAGAATAAAGACATAGGGTGTTGCTGTCTTCACTGTGTCACCTGACTTCACTCATGTCTCCCACAGATATCTACACATGCAGACTAGTGAAAAAGAGTGGGGTTATATTAACTTTAGATTTGGGCATTTATTTCAAAACAGTAATAGAAATTAATTCAATGGTTATGTTTTGCAGTACACTATTTTATAGACAAGAATACCCATCAAATTAACAGTGGGGTCAGCTGATAATATAGTAGTACTGAAATCCAAAGCCATCCTTCAGCTGAATCAAGTACAGTAATTAATTATAAGTTATGTAAATTACTGTCTCATTTCCAACTGGGTGTCTAATTATTACACAGCTACCTCTAAGCCTGCCACTCACATCTAAATAGTTCATCTACCTACAGTAGTTCCTACCCAACCACTGACCACATCACGTGTTACAGCACTGCACTCATTTTCCCAATTTAGTATTTCTACCTAAAAAGGCAAAACTATTCCTTTGATGCATTACATAACATAAAATGCCACGTTGGCTGAGATACTATTAAATGAATGAGCTATTAGCACTCATGATTGAGTGCTAATAGCCATGTATATTGCTGTAAAACTACACAATTACCCATGGAAATAGTAGTAATTAAATGACTCACGTGGTGATGATTGCTTAATAAGTGGCCTTGGAAGAGAATATATCTCTTGATGCTGAAGGACTGACATACAGATAGTTCAGGCCCTACGTATACACTGTAAGTACTGTGGGTTCTTCAGGAGTGGGGAATCAGTGCCATCAGCACACTTTACACTGCTTTCTGGTCTTATCGTTTAGCTGAACTTAATTAGGGTTAAACTTAATATGTTTCTCCCCTTAATATTTAAGTAAAAAGTCACACTGCATGCAGTGATTTTTATAAAGCTTGTGAGAAATCTTTATATTTAACTAAAGTTCCTTATAGAATGTGTAACATTTTCAGAACAGCTGGAAGTAACGAGGTTTGCATTTTGAGGGTTAAAAACGATTTAGTTTCAGGTGTACTCTTCTCTTAACTGCATATTTGACTCTTGAAGTGTTATGAGAACTTCCCGGCCCAATTCAAAAGTCCGTATTTCTCCAGGCCCCGTGAGAGGAATAGAAAAGAGTCCTCCAAGAGCACATGTGTGCCTTTGTGAATTTGCCGCAGTCACAAATTCCATTCCTTTTGCCTGGTGTTGCATTTTTCTAGTTTTGTGATTTTTTTTGCCTGCAATTCACTTGTATAGCACTTTCATGCATTGGTAGCGAGGAAGATTGTTAGTTATTAATGGATTGGTTGAGATATTTAAAGCTCGTTGCACTGAAGCCCTCAGAATCGTAATACGAAGACCACCACTATACTTTTAGTTATTTAACCCGATTGTTTCATGGACAAGACTAACCTGTGACTGTCACGGTCGTCAATTCCTCCTCTAGAGGGCACTCCTACCTTTTTTCGTTTCCAGTTTTATTTCTCCCAGCTGTGTCTTATTCCCTTTTCCCTATTTAAGCCCGGCGTCTCCGTAGTTCTGCTCACCCTGCGGTCCACATGGGTCCTTATGTCCCAGTATAGTGACGGGGACACTATACTGTAAACAAGCGCCGTCTTTCGGATGAGACGTAAAACCGAGGTCCTGACTCTGTGGTCATTTAAAATCCCAGGGTGTTTCTCAAAAAGAGTAGAGGTGTAACCCCGGTGTCTTGGCCAAATTTCCCATGCCTCCTAATAATCCCCCTCTATGAATTGGCTACATTACTTTGTTCTCCTCCCCCCCCCGAAGGCAGGCGGAGCGACACGCCGATTGGAGTATTCTCGGTCGCATTTAATGGCAACGTCAGCTCAAAGATTTGGTTCAAACCACCAAATGGAGACGGGCTACAAGCGGACCCTGCTGATGCAGGATTAACGCTAGGATGAGAGAGAGAAGCCCGGAGTCTCCGTAGTTCTGGGCTCAGCTTTGGAAGAGGGACGTCTGAAGGCCGACCTCTCCACTGGGCTCAAGAGCAGTCTAAGGCCTTATCCCCAGATGTCCTGACCTAGATAGTTCAGCCCCAGATGTACTGAGTCCGGGGCTCACAGTGCCTTGTCCCGTTATGGTTTTAACTATCCGTATTCCTAGTTCCCTGTTCCCTGTGTTCGTCTCGGATGGATCTCCCAGCACCTGGACCTTGGACTGAGCCCTGATTTTCCCCATTAGACTTCCTTTTGGACTCGTTCGCTTGCGCTCCCCCCATGCACCAGATCACGGCCGTCACCACCCCCAGTGTTTCTACCCGACCTGATCCTGCTGTGTCTTCCCTGATGTCCTACCCCAGTCACTTCCAGATTATACCCTCTCACATAGGGTTTTTAACCACGCATTTCACGGGAGTCTGACCCGGCTCTCGTGACTGACATGAGGTTTGCAGTTAACCTGCTGTCACGCCCTCTGCAGCCTGAGGGTGCTCCTTCTCTGTCCTGTCTCTCATTTCCAGTTCTTTGCTGTCCTTCCGGTGTTTCTCTCTCTCTGGGGCTATATATTTCCGGGTCTTTCATTCTGCCTTCACTCAGCATTGGCGTTCGGATGTCCTGAGACCCACCTAGCACCAGTTCCCCCCACGTCCGCTACCTGATGGCATAGGTTTCTATACGGCATTTCCTGAACAGCTGAGCCCGGGCTAACCCCCGTCTCGCCGCTACGCATAGGGTCTTTTCGCTCTCCTGCTATTCCACGGTTTGTCCCTTCCGACATCCGTGACACCTGCTCAGAAGAGGTTACTCTCCTGTCCTTATATGACGTACTGTAGGGTGGTTGACCCCATTGAAAATCCAAGTGGCTGCAGCAAAGGAGATTTTAGTTTCCAAAGGATTATGTGGATTTAGATAAAAGGATCATGTCTACAAAGGTTATACAGTAAGTGGTCAATAAAGTATGCAAGCCTGCTCAGGTGTTCAATAAACTTTGCAAACATTACATTAAATAAGTATAGTTTAATAATATTAATTAAAGAAAATTAAAGAGTGAATGTGATTGTTTCAACTAGAAAGTGCTAAAATATTTGTCAGATGTGCTCTTTTAGCTTACTTGGCTGACTAATATGTGAATACTAGGCTGTGGAATAGAGTGTTTGGAGCCTACTAAACGTCCATGGATCTAACAGTATTGGAGCTTGAACCAATAATTACGAGAATCAACCCAGTTTTAAACCTGACTTGTGTGGGTTGAACACCTTTCAGAATTGTATCAGTACAAACAGTATAGACATCAATCAGACAAAAGATATATTCAGCAGAGAAGAGCAGGGGTACCGTGCACTGCCAAAGGAATTGTAGTCAGCATCTGTGTGAGTTTGGGGGACACTCCCAGGCATACACAGAGCAGCGCAGAGAGCTGGATTGTTTGTCTGGAGCCACACTGTAAAAAAATTGCAGAGGTTTAGATGCTTCATAATGACAGACACTATACTGGAGGTATAGTATATGACACCCATGTTTTCTAGTGCTGAGGATTCAAATGAATGTCATCAATTGGGCAACTGCAGAATCAGAGCTTCATGATTCCAAATTTCCCTTCCCCTTGTCTGCTGCCTATTGAGATAAGTGTCTTGTTTCCAGTCAAGAACGACACCTGAACAAGCCTGCTTTCCCTGGTTCATCCATGATGGTAGATTTAAAAGACTACTGTATGTCTTGGATGGATCTCCCGGTTCTCGGATCACGTACTTCACCCTGATTACCCCTTTTTGGACCTGCTTGGACTTGGTCGCCTTTTGAGTTTTCCCCTGTGCACTGCATCACTGCTTTTGCCCACTGTGTGTGTTCCCCGAATAATTCCTGAAGTGTTTCCCCTGATGTCCAGACTCTTCCAGATTATACCGTCCCACATAGGGTCTTTAAAACACACTTCACGGGAGTCAGAACCAGCTGCACAGAACTTTACCTTTATGAGTAGCTGAGACACTGTTCCAATACTTTCAAAAATCTGTCCGTGTTCCCAACCTTAATTGTGAATATTAGATAGAAAAATTTTAAATACTGAAAAATACCACAATTTTCACTGCCCTAGGCTTTAATGCCTAATAGCCACAGTGTTGCCCATTTAGGTACCGGCAGGCCCTCTGAAAGCTCAGTACTTTTTTTTTATTTGTAGAATGCATTTTACAAATAAAAAAAAAACATTGTGATTACATAATTGTATATGTATGACACCCAGTACTTCGCGGATAAAAGTCTGGGAGGATTAAGGTGGGCATTTTGAAACTCCTAAGGAATGGTAGATTCGGCACTGAAAGGGGGATGTTTTTTCTCACTGCCGAGAACTTTTTATTCGAGAAACATGGTCTATGGTAAAAGTTCCAAATTCGCCTCAAGTCGAGAAACACAGCCAAAGGGTTCAAGAGGAGGACCACGCACCCTCGGCTGAGGTGAGGCCCCCCAGTTGAAGTGTAGTTCAGGACCCTATGCAGACGGTATAATCCGGAGAAGGACAACATAGAAAAGACGTAGAGGATCAGGACGGGTTGACAGACAGGGGGTGTGTGCTGGCAGTGATCCCGGGCTCGGGGGGCATGGAGCAGGCAAACAAATCCAAAAGGGGGAATCCGGGGCGCAGTCCAGAGTCCAGGAACCGAAGGATCCATCCGAGACAAACAAGGTTAAAAACCGGAATGGGATCCAGAACAGGAACAGGGAATAAAAACCAGGGTAACAAGGCCAGACGGTCAGGATGCCGTGTTAAAGCCTATGCTATTGGGTCTCTCCTGGACCCACTGGAAGGCAGGCTTCCAGGCATCCACCTCTCAATGCTGAGCCAGGAATAGCGGGAGCACCAGGCTTAAATATTGGCAGACTAAACAGGGGGCAGGTGCACATAATGAACTAAAATACGAGGGGAGGGATGACGATCGTGACACCAGTGAGGTGAGGCCTGGGACAAAAAGATACCAGCCCAGGGCAGCACAGGTGTTATCCTAGAGTAGGTAATGTTAGGAAAGCAGCAAAATAGTATATCATTGCCTAGAAATTCAAAGCATTAATACCTGGTTGAGTCCCAGTGCACAGGCATTAGGAACGCTAGTGCTGGTACCTCCCACGCTGCCCAGCATGCCAGCAATGATGCTGCCCAGGCCTTCTGAAGCCAGACCCCGGTTACAGGCCCCAGGGGGAGGAGGGGGGGCCTCGAGGAGCCGGGCGGTCACCATGTAGCAGCCCTGTGAGCTGATGGCCGCGGAAAGGGCAGCCGCGATGCCCGCAGTGATGCAGCGGGGGGTCAGAAGCGGCAGGTCTCCCCCTCCTGTAAAACAGAGAGAACTCTTGTATCCACCAGCCGCCATCAGCAAAAAGAACAGTGGAGACAACCAGGCCTTTTCAACCATTTTCTCAGGCTAATTCAAGTACAAACACAGCCAGTGGAACATTACGCACATTTAGCTTGAGAAACACCATTGATTTTCCACAATTTCACGTACTCGTTTTAAAAAAATATTTTGGGTTAGAGAATTTGGGCTAGACCGAGATTCGTGGGCTGCATTTTTTTCTGTGATAACTCAGGAGCAAGATTAAACGTGAGGACGCTGCTGTGCTTAAACCATCACCGGGGAAACAGCAGAATAGAAGACGGAAAAAAATATCATAATTGTGGAGGGTGTTAAAGAGTAACATCTGAAAAGTAAGTGGGTGATATGGTACAGCAGAATTATTCCTATATATCTCTGGTGTCTGTGGTGATAGCAATCTGTGCTGGTACTTGGTGGGTAGTTTAGCTTATTTCCCAAGCAAGTTTTCCCCCATATTTTCTGAAAGGGAAACTCCTGTTGCTTTGCCATTCTTCATGAATGGGCAGCATTACTCTGGCTTTAGTGAAAACAATGTGAATATTGTGGTGCAAGTGCAAATTAGAAGTAAACTGAGATTTACAGCCGGGTGCAGGAGGCCCAGTAGCCACAAGGGGAGGGAGGAGATTATGACCGAGGGGTCAGGGAAGGTGAGAGTCTGGGGTCTCAACTGACGGGTTAGGAGGGGGTCAGAAGATTGAAAGCTGCTTAATTTCCTGGTACAGCAGCTTGTCGTGGTCATGATCCGAAAGGAGATTGATATTTCTAGATATTTATCGCTATTTTAATATTCAAGGTTAGAAAAGTTGATTGAAGCAGGCAAAAAAAACCCAACAATGGCCAATTCAATATAGAGAGTTGGGAATGAGAAGCAAAATGTGCTGAAATAGGTGAGCAAGACATATCAATAAAATCGAAAGTTCAGGCTAATAAAGAGCTAGTCTTCTAGTCTTCTGTCTTGAACGCTTACTGTCTTGACAGCTCTAATTATTCACAACAGTTGCCCTTCGACAGTATTCAGACAGTAAAGTCTCAATTAATTATCACTAGGAACTCTATTATGCAAACAACATGATAGATTACTACAACTTAGTGTTTTGTTTTTTTATAGTCAGACCAGTTCTAACTTAGTTCTACCTCTTAGTGCAATTAAACAAATTGATACTGTCAAACCTTTTTATTTTGAAGGAGCAAAAGTATTTGGAAAGAAATCATTGATGCAATTAACAATCAGCCTGTCACGGATGTCGGAAAGGACGAACCGTGAAATGGCAGGAGAGCGAAAAAGACCCTATGCGTAGCGGCGAGACGGGGGTTAGCCCGAGCTCAGCGGTTCAGGAAATGGCATATAGAAATCAGGTAGCGAACGTGGGGCGACCTGGTGCTAGGCGGGTTTCAGGACATCCGAACGTCAATGCTGAGCGAAGGCAAATGAAAGACCCAGAAATATATAGCCCCAGAGAGAGAGAAACACCGGAAAGACAGCAAAGCACCGGAAACAAGAGACAGGACAGAGACGGAGCGCCCTCTGGCTGCAGAGGGCATGACACAGCCATACTGTACTATGTACTGGGCGGTGCTTCGTCATGCAGCATGACACAGATCCAAAAACAAAAGCAAGAGAGTTGATCATCCGGAGAAAAAAATATAAGTGACCAAGTTATTATTCATGTTTAAATCCAATTGAGCATTCAACCCTGAATTGAATAAAGCAGTTAAAAAGTGGAGGGGGTATATGCTTCTTTCAGATGTTTAGTGTTGGCAAAATAAAACATTTCTGGGGCTGGACAAGGGGAAAAGAATATATAAATAAAGTGATTTTATGCAGTTGTTTTTACGGAAACATTCTTCCCAGCTGATCGATTCTAACTTAAAATGCTTTCCAAAATTGAACCAGAGATTCAAATATAAGTTTTTCTGTATTGATGAAATTAAAAAAAAAAACAGAGCACTTAAAATTAAAATTCTAACAAAACACATCCACATCCACCTGGATAATGCGACGGCAGCCATAGTGCGCCAGAACGCTCACCACACATCTCAGTGGGGAGGAGAGCAGAGTAATGAAGCCAATTCATAGATGGGGATTATTAGGAGGCCATGATGGCCACTGAAGTGAATGAGAGCTCTGAACATAGAGAGCTGGGGGCAGGGAGGTGTGGATTCCTAGGCTAATACTTAACGCAGCCATCTGCGTGATCTGCCCCTTTGCTGCAACCGGGGCATGTGGCGCCGTTTGGTCAATTCTCCCTAGGGGCAGCTCCTGACACCCTTGAACATCGTCCCGGCCAATTAAAATCACGGATCGTGGAATGCTTGAGGCACCCTCTGGTTGCAAGGAAGTGGAACTGTAACATTAGCTATACATGTGTATGTCAAACACAAACACCTCCCTTCATATTCCTCTCAAGCATCCCTCCTCTGCCCCGTCTCTATCTTACAGCTGCCCCTTGGTTCACTCAGTCAGAACGGGCCTCAAGCCCCCTTGTCCTTTGGCCAGGAGGCTGCCCATTAACCAAAATGGTTAAGCCAAAGCTATCTCACCAAATATTCCCAACATTCATATGAAATTCTTGAATGTTACTGTCCCCAGTGAAATGTTGAGTGAGTGAGTGATAGATGTTCTACGGACAATATAAGTCCACTCATGTAAAACTTATAACATCGGTGAAATACCTTTAGACTGTAGAGATTTGACTCTACTCTCATCTGAATAAGTAAAGGGCAGACCTGCAAGCTCTCCTGTATTTTTACTACATGAGGCAGTAGCTGTGCTGTACATCCAGCAAAATATCATAATATTCATAGAACAACAACGTGAGCTTAAGTTCACAACACTATGATTATGTTCAGAGACAATGAGTTCAATATTCACTGTACCAGAACTACAATACCTGGAATAGGCAGTCTCAGCCAGGGAACTTGGTAGGTGAGGTTTATTGGTCTTGACAGCTGGCTGAGTTCCTCTGGGTGTTTCAGAGGATAGACACCTGTGATTTCCAGAGGGACAAAGATGATCCAAACACACAGAAGAGGAAGTAGCACCTACAACGGCAGGAAAAACACTGGAAGTGAATCACTGTGCAATGATTCTCCAGAGACCTGTGTCCTACAGTCACTACTCAGAGCTAAATCTTAAGATCACTTTATTGGCCATACACAATTTCTTGTGTTAGGAATTTGTCTTTTTTCGCATCCCCCAGTTTGCTCTCCATGAGACGCACAGACAAGGAGAGAAGCTTGGGGTCAGAGCGCAGGGTCAGCCAGGAAATCATTTATGATTAGTGAACCTTGGCACCTTGTAAATGAATTGAAAACTAAAATGCGGTCTTTTCTGGGATTCTACACCAAGCAAAGGTTGAAAGGTTATAATCTGTAAAAGCACACATGATAAAGATAGGGAGGACACGTGTTGCTGAAGAAGGCTTCAGCTATTTTGGTCATCTAAAACCTTTCTATAGCAAAGACTGTACCTGTCTGCACAAGTGCATCTGTGCAGACATGACGGATTACATCAAACATTTGTTTAAAACTTCATATTTCAGAATTCCCACCAGTATGTAGAGCGTATACTGTATTACAAGTATAGCAGGTATAATTTCTGGTATGTACAGTATACAGATAATCTGGCACAAGATAAAAAAGGCGATCATTTAGCTACCGTCAAGTTTGCTTGATGGGCCAATGGCCTCCTCTATTTTACAACTACAGTATTTTTATTTTCAGATGTTTGTATGTGAACTGCAAGAAACTGCAAGAAAGTTATTTTAAATGTTATTAAAAATAATTCTTGTGATTACAGCCTTCATGAATCTGACTGAAATGGGATGCCAGATCCTTATTTCCTTGATAGTAATTAACAGAAAGGAGACTATTACAGATGTACTTGGCCAGCTAATAGGAATTTTGGGTAAGATGCTCCCTAAGTAATACATATTTTTACTAAAAAACAACAATTAAATTCTACACATTTGAAATGAAAATGACAGTGTTGCTTTAATTTTCTTGGCATTTTTTTGCTGTTTGAAGTTTGATTACAATATCTTTCTAGCCCACTACAGTAGCTGGGACTGACACCAGAATGTGACTTCTCAGAATTAATACATTGTTTGAAAATGTGAGTTTGGTTCAATGTGCAATACAATAAAATAATTTGTATCTCAGGCAAGGAAGAGGCCAAAATGCTGTCTCATGTCTTTTTCTTAACAATTTTTTGTTGCCGCCAATGTCATAGAGAAACGAAATCACAATTGCACAGTAGACTGGATTTGTGGGTTATTCATTAATGTATTTGATTTTTTAATGCAGATTTGCCATGCTCTTCTATAACGTGATCTGATATATTTTAAGATGGTTCTCAGCATGAAAAGCAAGTCAATAAGATGTTCTCAATCCCTGCTTTGCTGTTTATCAAAACCTTTTCCGATGGAAAAATAGGCCAACCTCGTACAAAAGATATATAGAATCTCTAGCATGTCTTACTGAGAGCATCCTGCAGGCTGGGTAGTAAGAAGGTTTGGGAGACTCTTCTGGTACACATGTTCCCCAGGCTGGGAAAAAGCAGTCATGCAGGTGTTGAGACAAGATGACAATGAGGAGTACTATGCTGCAGAAAGAAAAAAAAAACATTACACCAACTTCTCTGAGCTTATCTGAGCTGTAGAATTGCCAGGATTCTAGTGAAACAGCACAACTCACAAATGTCCATAAGATCGCTAACAATATAAGGATTAATCTTATTTTCTTTCATAATGCACTAGAGGTTTTTTATCCATTTTTATCCTTCATCATATAATGGCTATTTCTGTGTTCCCTTTTACTGCTAGTCCGATGACCAGGTGTCAGTAGAATAAACCAAGCAAACTGGTGCATTTTGTTTCTTTCCTTTCCTCGCCGAAAGTGACTCCCATTGGACAAAAAAGAGACACCTTGGTTCTACCCATAACAAGCAGTTTATTCGCAGCCAACTGCAATGCGTTAGTGTGAAACCGAAGAGACAACTTTTCAAGAGAACTTCCACGACAAGCACATTAATAACTCACAGTGTTGCAATACCCCAGTGTGATGAGCAGAGCAGCGCAGCTTCCTTGTAGATGGAAAACCCAATGATACAGAGCATGGGTGCAATCACCAATGGGCCACAGTGCCACAGGATTAGACCGCTCAGGCCTGAGATTCCCAGGAGCACCTGAACTAGTCCTGCTGCTACAACAGCTCCTTGGAGCTGCAGAGGAAAGAGACAGATTGAGTTGTTATTTAGTGTTATACAGATCGGTCCTCTTTCTGCGCTGTAATTTTATAGCCAGCGTTATCATTTTAATCTGGGGAGCTGCATTTACCCAGGATTTTCAGATCTTTACTCATCAAAAGGAGTTGCTTATTAAAGGAGTTTACTGCAAATACAGTAGATTGCCAATAATAAACACTTTTAAACACTTAATCTGTGATTTAGATTCATCAGGACTTTACTAGAGAAGCACTTGTGATGTGGCCGTTTCCAGTTAACCTCTATAAAATGCCTGCAAGTGCTTGTCAAGCTTGTGCCTGTTCATTGTTCTCCATCAGGCTTCAACCCAGCTCATCCCTCACATGTTCAATGGTATGTGAGTCTGTTGCAAAAATGTGACAGTAACATGTATGCCTGACATGCTCTTGAACTGTGGTACGTCGTACAGTTTTGCTGGCTTTCATCCTATATTAACATCTTTCTGAAATAGCAGCTAAATATATTTACAATTGGTAATTACTTATAGTTGGGCCAGAGGGAATTGAAGCTTATGGAGGGTTTCATATATAGTGCATACTGTCTATACTGCATTTTTCAGTGGACATACAGTATCTTGCATCATGTAATCCATAAAGAAAAGCATATCCATGTATTAGTTATCGGTGAAGGCATTACCTCTCTGATTGGCTTATTCCAGGTAATGGTGTCTTCTTTAGTTCCACACCATGGACCACTGCACGTGACCTCACTCCCTGAAATAAAGCACTCTGAATTAATGTTTTACCAGGCAAAGTCAACATGCCCCAGGGCTAACTATACTGTCAGTAGTTCCATTCCAAGCAAACATTGCCGTTTTCTGTGCCTAAAAAAGCACTGTTTAAGCGGTTAGTTGATGACAAACGCATTCCAGAATATGGAAAAGATGTCATTCGTTTCTTTCTTTGAATGAAAATGAGCTCTTCTAGCCTTTTCTAGCTTTTCTAGTTTTGTCAAGCTTGACTTTGATTGAATGCTTTATCACCTTGCTGGAGAATCAAAAGAACTCTCATGCTTCACATTTTACCCAATGCTCAGGTTTGGTGCTGACCCCAGCTAGTTTATAACAGTATAATGCTGGCTGAGATAGACCATTTTGATTTTGAATTGCCTGAACAGTTGTCTGAACTCTTGCTTAAAAAGTTAAGACTTTCAGGGGCTTATGTACAATATTCGCGGTAAATCAATGAATTAACATTTCCTTTAGAAGGATTATATCTCTAGTATATTTCAAGGAACTAAGACACCTTTGAACCTGGCCAATTCTGCATCAGCGTCAGAAGTTTTTGACCCTACAAAGGGTTAGATAATGCAGAATTACAATTTCACTGGATATCTTTAATAAAAGCTAATGGCTAAATGCTTGCTTTCTTTTTAATATGTAATATACAGCACTACTGCATTTCCCATGTGCTTAGTAAACCTGGTGTGACACTGCCTAAGAGATATGGCCAGCAGCTACATCACCCTGCAACTCACAACTGGCAATCCACTGAAGCTCAGCAGGTGTGAGCCTGGTCAGTACCTGGATGGGAGACCTCCTGGGAAAAACTAAGGTTGCTGCTGGAAGAGGTGTTAGTGGGACCAGCAGGGGGCGCTCACCCTGTGGTCCATGTGGGTCTTAATGCCCCAGTATAGTGATGGGGACACTATACTGTAAACAGGCGCTGTCCTTCGGATGTGACGTAAAACCGAGGTGGTCATTAAAAATCCCAGGGCGTTTCTCGAAAAGAGTAGGGGTGTAACCCCAGTGTCCTGGCCAAATTTCCCATTGGCCCTTACCAATCATGGCCTTCTAATAATCCCCATCTATGAATTGGCTTCATTACTCTGCTCTCCTCCCTTCTAATAGCTGATGTGTGGTGAGCGTTCTGGTGCACTATGGCTGCCGTCATATCATCCAGGTGGATACTGCACATTGGTGGTGGTGGAGGGGAGTCCCCATTACCTGTAAAGCACTTTGAGTGGAGTGTAATAAGTGTAAGCAATTATTATTATTATTATTAATTAAGAGAACACAGCTGTCGATCTTTTCACTTCTGCTATCTGAAGCTCCGCTCCTCAGTATTTAGTGACTTCTCAGCAGGTACACGGGGCTGCAAGTAAAGCTGTATACCTGAGCTCTGCAAGAGAGCCCAAACTCTGCTGAAAGAAGCTCGAGAGAAAGATAGAAACGGATGACTGAGTGAGCTTCTTTTTGGGAGACAAACGGGCCGAGAAAGAAAAATAAAAAGGCTCTGCCACTCCTGCACAGCCCAGATGTGCTGTCTTTACTTTTAATCATCTCGCAACACCTGCCTTGTCAAGCACATTAGGAATTGTGCTCTAACATGGGGAAGGTTTTAACAATCTGTTTCAGAGCGGTTAGAGGTCTATGTAAGGATATCTGCCTTCTCACTGAGAGATCTGCCTGTTGTGCTTTTGTCCAGATTACAGGCAAAATCAGTACTCACTAAGCTGTCAACTATATGGAAACGTGAATACACAAATTGATAAAATTATGATAAACACTTATATGGCCAGTTGAAACACATGGCTGTTAAGCATAAACATTAAGAAAAGCAGAGTAAAGAATAGATACACTGGAATCAATTCAGAAACTTCAAAAGCATGGAATAGCCCTTTGAGTACTGTACTCAATCATTAAGAAGCAGAATGTGGATCATTACATCCAGACACTTCCTAGATCCTTCCTGACTGAACAGACAGAAAAGGGGGACCTGCTCAGTGATGGAACTGTTAGGCCAAGGGTGACTTTGAAAGAGCTACAGAGTTCAAAGGCTGATGTCATGCCCAGTAAACCAAGAGGGCGCTCTACTTTTCTCCTTTTCCTAGTTCACTGTGATTATTCATGTCTTCCTAGTGTGTCTTGTTGTGAAGCCTATTTACTTCCTGCTTCTGCTCTGCTCCTCGCTCAGCATTGAGGTTCAGATGTCCTGAGACCCGCCTAGCACCAGGTCGCTCCTGTCCGTGGCCTGAGGGCATAGGTTTCTATATGGCATTTCCTGAACAGCTGAGCCTGGGCTAACCCCATCTCGCTGCTATGCATAGGGTCTATTTTCGCTCTCCTGCCATTCCACGGTTCGTCCTTTCCGACATCCAAGACAGCTGAGCTGGCAAAAAAACATGCACGACACAGTACCCCAGTCACTCCACAATGTTGGCCTGCATGGAAGAGTGGAAATCCTGTCCAAATCCCATATAAAGTCTGCAACAAAGTATACTGATGGAAACAAGAAACGCCACATTTTCTGGAATGAGAATGCTATAGTTATAGCTTATGTACTTTCACAAAAAGTTGTCGATTTGTTTTAAGCCCTCTGACCAGCAATACATCTTGTGCAGTGAAGAACTGTTGATCACACGAGATCGTGTGCACTTTTACCCTACAAGGTCCGGGTGGAACAATGCCTGATCAGCTCACCTTTAAAAAGGCTTTCATTCAAACCTTAGGCTACTGCAAGGAAAAGGCCAGTTTTCTGTGCATTCCATAATGCCTCGAATGTCACCAGAAGCAAGGGAGAGGGCCATCGGCATGCTGCAGGCAGGCATGTCATGTGCCAGCATTGCCAGACACTATGGAGTAAGCCGCTCCACTGTGTCTCGACTGCAGAGAAGGTTTCAGCAGACCAGCAGGACAGATGACCATTCGAGATCCGGTCGCCCTCGAGTGACCACACCAGAGACACATCAGATTGGTCCATCTGAGAGATCGTTTCAGATCTGCCACCCGTACTAAACCGCCGGCAGACACAATGCCCGCATCAGTGACAGGACAGTGAGTCTCCATGCTGCTGGCCTTAGAGCAAGGCGACCTGTCAGAGGCCCTCTGCTCACACCTCCTAGACGTCACATCTGATTGGCTTGGGCCAGACAGAGGCTGTGATGGACTTGTCAGTAGTGGCATCAGGTCACTCTGGATGAGTCACTCTTCAGCCTGTTCCACACAGACGGGAACATCAGTATATATGCAGTAAGTGATACTGTAAACATGTGGCAAAACGTTCTGTGGTTGCTCTAAACGAGAAGCATTGCAATTGATGCAAAGACAACATACTGCATCACACAGTTAACTCCATTTCTACTGTCAAGCAAGGTGGTGGAAAGATTATGTTTTAGTTCTGCTTCCCATCAGAGGGGGCTTGTCAAGATTGATGGAAACATACTGTATACGAAGCAAAGAACAAATCTGCTTCAGACTTTAGACTAGGACAGAAAATCACCTTACACCAAGAGAATGACCTAAAGTACAAGGCCAAAGTTACACTAGAGTGGTTTAAGAATAGGAAAGTGTACATGACTGGCCTGGTCAAAGTCCGGACTTGAATCCCACGAATAATCTGAGGAAAAACTTGAAAACTGCTGTACATAAGCGACTCCTAAGCAACATGAGAGAGATCAAGCAAATCTTAAAGAATAATGGGTTAGAAGGTTATAAATAATTGTGCCAAGCTAGTGTGTCCAAAGTTGGTAGGGACTTACGCTAAAAGAAGTGAGACTGTAATTGCTACTAGCAACCAAATAAACAAGGACAGACAAATAGGCTCCTTACATTGTAAACTATGTCCTTTCAACCAGTGCCAGTTAGAAAAGGAGTGTTCTATCCTCCATAAACTGCAGTAACACTCTACTGTTTTTCCTACTGGAGATGAAACTTACCATTTCCATGATGATGTCCTTCTTCCTGGGACGTGAGAATAATAGCAGGTATAAGGAATTCCATAGACGGAGCCTGAATTAGAGGCAACCTGAGTGCAAATAAAATGATGCAATGTAAATATTTTTTGCTTATGTAGTTTTCATGGCATTTAACATTACAGTATATACTCTGTGAGGAAATATCAGCATTACGGCTATTACAGTATTGGAGTGATTGCATAATGCATTATGCTTGAATACAAAACAAATAAGTAACTCGATCAACTCTATCACGATGGTAAAAGTTATAAGTTGGACATTCTGTGAAAGCACTGTAATACTGTTGTATTTCTTCCTGGTTTTCCATCGACATAGATGTACAAAAACATCTTCTTTGTGAAAGTGCACATAGTCATGGTATTTTAAAATGAATACACATTTTGCATTTACAGTTCATGTTGCAAAACAGACTTCCATGAATCATCAGCAATTGTTTCTCCATCTGGAAATCAGGATTAACATGGACATATTTTTGTACAGCTGTATTTACTTGTCAGAAATAATTACGAACACATGAACACATCTTTTTGATGCGTTTGTATAATATCCACCAGTTAAGTGTTGATTGCTTCATATTATTGTTATTTAGTAAGATGTAGCACTATTCTGACTGTTTAAGGTACCAGATAAATAATAGATGAGATTCAAATGATCTATAAAGATATTGTGATTAGTATCACTAGCACCTGCCCACAGTTTATTTTTAATCATTACAAATGTGAACAGGCTATTCCTTAATTAATTGATTTAAAGATAACCCCTTGGACATTCTGTCTGAACCTTTTTTGATTTTTTATATGTCTTTCTCTTAAAAAGACATGTAAAGTGCATATTCTAAAGAAACATCATTAAATTAGAAACATGTTCTAATGAAACATCATTTCATTAGAACAAAAACAGCTAAAAATCACAGACGCATTTTAATGTCTTTCTTCAAAAGTCAATTTCTCAGGTTGCGGGACGCTTATGATGTAAATTTCTTTTTCTTGTTCTTCTTTAAAATATCTATTACCACGGGGAAAAAAAGTTTGAAAGTGATTAAAAAAGTTTAAAAAAAAGCCTGCACGATTTTTTTGGGAACAGAATATAAATTGGTTTTCTTTCAAGAAATGTAAAATAAAATAATAAAAAAATGAAAAGAACACATTTTTACTAGAGTATTGCAATACTGCTAGCCCTAGAGAGGCTTTTTATAATGTTTATAGTTTTTATAAGTGTTTAAAAACACTTTTTAAATTATTTTGCACCTTCTGCACTTTTATTATACAGAAATACCTGGTTTACAGAGTACTCATAAACAGGTTTAGTAAAATAAAAAAAACTACACCTGCATGCTATAGAGAGGAAGGTTTAAGCCTCTGAATGGTCAGAATTCGCTAAATTACATCTATTTTAACCTATCAAATGACCTTTTATTCTAGAGCCGGCTGATTTGAACGTATAGGCAGCTTCAGCAGAATTTTTGCTTTTGCTGGAGAAACGATAAATTATACTGTATTTCCTGCTTCTCTCAACTAAAATGCGAGATGAATCTATGAACAAAATGTTAATTTGCTTTATACTAATGTGCAGTATAACACAGTTCTGAAAGGCGCAGGTTGTCTTGTGTTTTGTGATGTATAGTATGTGATGTGTTTTGTTTTGGCTGGTAAATATATATGTAATTCAACCGTGGTGCAGCTGCAGTGAAAACAAACTTAACAGTCGTGTCTGGAGACCATATTTTGAGAAATGACTTAAAAAATGTTGTTTTTAGTAACAAAAAGTGTAGCACACGCTACAAAAACACACATGCTTAGGTACAGTAGATATGTCTAGCTGGGGGTGGATGGAGAAAGCAGAGTGAACAAGAAAAACAAGCTGCTTTCGCGTTAGCTGGACAGAGCGCTCCTGGAATATAAGATGCATTTGATTCCAAATTCACACTGAACCATCACCTTGTGGACTTCATTTTCTAAAGACTCAATGACAACCAAGGCGCCAATACAAGTTGTAAGTGTGCAGTTTAAAACCTCTTGCATTACAGTCTTCCTCATTCAAAATCATACTGTATGTAAAACTTCAAATCCTGTTTGAGCTGCACACCGTGGTCTGTCTGTATTCGGGTTGCCTCTCTACTGAAATTCAGTTTGGTTTTTCAGATCCCATTTACAAGCCAGTTGGTGGTCTAGGTACTGGTTTACAGTAGGTCCTGTGTGGAAAAGTGAACCCAATTGACCTGGACAGCAGTATACACTATCATTGCACAAATATCAAAAGATACCTATCTTGGCTTAGAGGTTGCCAGTTGGCTTTCTGACTTGTTAGTGGACAAAATGGTGTTGTGAAGAAAATCAGAGTAATAAAAAAACCTATGAAAGTGGTAATAAAACCTTACTACAGCATAAACTATGAGCCACCTAGTTTTGGTATGTGTATATGGTTTTTCTCCCACTCTTTTGCGGACAATACTCAGATCTGTGTGCCCATTTCACCAAATTCTCAAACTGTTCATTCAACACTAATCAAATGCCTTGAAGACATACAGTGCTGGATGGCTCAAAATTATCTCCGACTGAACGAGAATAAAACCAAGATGTCTTTAAACCGGCTCGTTGTGCTGGGCAACTGGGTGCAATTTCTGGAGTGCCATCTTCATGGATTTTGTATGTTCTCCCCATATCTGGTGGGTTTCCTAATTGGCTTCAGGGAAAATTGGCCCTAGGTGTGAGTGGGTGTGTATTTGTGAGTGCCTTGCAATGGACTGGTGTCCCGAGCAGGGTGTGTATCCTGCCTTCACCTGCTGCATGCTGAGATGGGCTCTGACATCCCTGAGACCCATCCATTCAATTTCTAACTGCTTCTTGCAATTCAGGGTTGTGGGTGAGTCTAAGCCTATCAGGTTTAGTGATTAGGAATAGATTGACATATGCTTTTAATTGCTTCTCTCCATCAACTCTCAAAATGAGACTGTCTAAAACTCACTTGCGGTGATACAGAAATTGTCCCTTAGATTGTGTTAAAACATTTAGGGGGTTATGTTAAACGTTCCCTATTCTTCTAAAGGCACGTAAGCAAAGTCTGCAGCAAATCCTTCTTCCATTCAACAAACATTTCTCATTTAAGACCAATTCTTTCTCTTATTGATGCCAAGAAATTAGTCAGTGAATTTTAGACTGCGCCTACTCTAAGCTTTTCAAACTGCATCATTCAAAAGTGCAAGTAGAGATTTATTCCAGGCTGAAAAGAGAAGAAAAGAAACGCAATGTTTGGGCTGTGGAAACTTCTTCGCTTGTGAGAAAGACAGGGAAGTCAGCAGCTAATCTAGCATATGGAGCACAAAAGCTGGGGGGTGGAGGAGGTGGGAGCAGGGGGGAGGCAGAGTGGGCACTCAGGTGGTGCAAAGTCGAGAGGTGAAGAGAGGTGTGAAGTCGAAACCTGCAAATGAATAAAGAGGATTAGAAGAAAACGAGTCTGTCGTTGAGAGAAGGGGGAAGGTGTGAACCAAGTCTATGGATAATTTTGGTTTCCACGATAGGGGTTAAGAAACCCTTCTTTGAGAACACAGACAGAGAGATAAGTATGATCATGGCCGTTAGAGGTGAAATGAGAAGCTCTGGGCTTGGAGAGATCTTTGATCCTCACAGCCCTGACAAGTTCTCTGAAGCGGTCTCTGAGTCTCCTTCCTGTTTCTCCAATGCAGATAGCTGGGCATCTACTACAAGAGATGCAGTAAATAAGGTTGCTGGAGGTACGAGATGTCATCGGAGTGATCCGGAATTGTCCTGAGGGGCCTTGAATGAGTGTGGTGTTGGATGTGTACAGTATTTGCAGGTGATGCAGCGAGTTCTGTCGCAGGGGAGAGTGCCTGGTGTGGATGATTGCTGAGGGCGGTCAAGGGAGCTGGGAACAAGAAGGCTATACAGGTTGGGTGGTCGGTGACATGATGATGGGGCAGTCAGAAAAAAGGGTGCCAGTAGAGGGATGGATCATCCTGTAAGATGGGGAAAGTTGTTGTAAATGGTCCTCATCTAAAAGTATGCTGCTGTAGTGCTAACCAAGTCTACAAAATGCAGTCTTTTTGATCTATCAGGTGCTGATAGGGGTTTTTCCTGGGTAACTTCAAGAGTTACTATCCCCACATATCCCAGTTCACTCACTTTGTTGTGCTGGTTTTAGACTCTTCAACGTACCAAGGACTTCATTTCATACTGTACATTAGGGGAACTGAGCCTTTTCAGCTGGAGCCCCTTGTCTTTTTGTACACACTTCCTGACCATATTGAAAATGCACCCTCTGCTAATGTTTTTAAATCTTGTGTCAAAACAAACGTATTTTCCATGGCTTTCAAGCCTTAACCTATTTTTTTTCCTTTCAATTTAATTTTGATAAATCTTTTTTTTTTGTACATTATTATCCCTTACTTTTAGTTTACTGTACAATTTTTATGTGTGTAAATTACAGGTATGTAGAATGCCTTGAGAGTGCTCTGGATTGAAAGGCGCTATAGAAGAAAATAATTGATTGATTGTCTGGTTCTTTCTTTGTTGGCTTGATTGATTGGCTGGTTGATCGATCGATCGACCGACCGATAGGTTGATTGATTAGTTGGTTCAATGATTGGCTGTCCCTGAAAAAGCTGGATTTCATTACATGTCAAAATGACATTGAAATTTGCTAGGGTTGCTGAGTGTTCATATTCACTGTAAAGTGATTGTTAGTAATTCATGTTTATACAGTAAATGCTAGAGTGTTCAGTCTACCTGGTGCCCAGTGTGGTCTGAAGGAGAGTCGAGATGCCAGAGCTGAACAGGCTTGTTGCCATTAGGTGGTAGGTAGATTGGATCCGGGCTCTTTTCTCCTCCAAGAGGTGCTGCTGGAGCAGGCTGTGGACAAGGACCAGCAAGGAAGACTGGATCAATACATGCTGCAGAAAGAGAAACAAGATCTAGCTTAGAAGAAGCAGGTGTAGGTCGTTATGAACTCGAAATGACAACTTTAACAGAATTACAGCATTCAATATACTAACAAGAAATAGTAGTACACCACCAAGAATGGTAAGTTTTTATTTTGTGCTTTGTCAGTCAAAATATTTTTGTGTCAAGTAGTGCAGCGATCAATATTTTGTTCAATGACCAATGAATTCTATGGTACAGTACATAGACACTCTAGTAAATCTCAATACTAAAGTCTTTCTCCATTACAGAGTTTAATTTCAGTAATACAGACTTGAACCAGTTATTTGTAAAGCCTCATAGAGCATCAACAGTATCAAACATACGTTACAAATGTGGAAGGGATTAAGAAATGTCTACATATTAAATATATCCTCTGTATAAAGCACTATACATTTGTGAGTATTATTAAAAGTAATTAAATTGACCGAGCTAGAGATTTGAAAGACAATCCAAACAGTTAAAATGAATATGGGCATCTGCAACAAGATACAACAAATTAGGAAGACCACATTTTGTCCATTAACAGCTGGCAAGCTAATATTTACAACTTTTACCTATATTTGTAAAACCTCACCCAGGCTCATGTACTCTGGAACCAACTACCAATACTCAATCAATAATGTGTCTGTGTGTCTCATGGAGAGCAAGCTGGGGTATGCGAAAAGACAAATTCCTAATGCAAGAAATTGTATAGGGATAATAAAGTGATCTTATCTCATACTCCTTCTCAATTTAATGAAAATTCTTCGCAATATACTGTATGTGGAGCCCTGGTAGCTCAGACGGTAAGGGTGTCTAGCTCCTGACCGGAAGGTCCCGGGCTCAATCCCAGGTAGGGGCAAGCGATCTAGTTTGCTCTAATTCCTTCCAGACAGCTCCCAGGTCCACTCAGCCTGCTTTCCAAATGAGTTAGGGTTAATCCTTCTGGGGGTGATAGGCTGACCGGAGTGTGATGCTGACCACATCACCTCCAGTGTCTGATGGTTGAGAAAAATGGTGGCCCATTCCCCCATGGGCCTTTATGGCCTGAAAAGGGGACCTAACCTCCCTACCTACATACTGTATGCTGGGAGAACAGTGCAGGTGGAAGCATCGTACGTACTGTATACATAAATGTACTGTATAATGTGAAGAAGGTGGTGAATGCCAAACCCCCTTTAACAATGTGCCGTACAATTATGTTGAACTAATTTGTATATATATAAATATTTATATATATAAATCTCCTACTGACATGAAAGCATATTTGCAGACATTATAGCGTATAATGATGTCCGAGCAAATCAGTGGCATGGGATTAACAGATCACTTTAATATGGGATGATTATTCGTCGGTTCATTAGATATACATACTGTACTGTACAGTACACTGATGTTCTGATCTGAACATGCCTGTGAAAAGAGCCTTTTCCAATTTCAATTTATTATATCCAGCAAAAGCATGGGGTGGTGGGATGGCTCTGTGGCTAAGGATCTGCGCCTGTGGCTGGAAGGTTGCTGGTTCGTATCCCGCGGCCGGCAGAGGAATCCTACTCTATTGGGCCCTTGAGCAAGGCCCTTAACCCCAACTGGTGTTAGTGGGACCAGCAGGGAGGCGCTCACCCTGCGGTCTATGTGGGTCCTAATGCCCCAGTATGGTGACGGGGACACTATACCGTAAACAGGCGCCGTCCTTCGGATGAGACGTAAAACCGAGGTCCTGACTCTCTGTGGTCATTAAAAATCCCAGGGCGTT